TTTTTTTTTTTTTTTTTTTTTTTTTTTTTTTTTTTTCTTTTGGTCAACGAACCTCCGTATAATCGATCTACAAGAGACGTTGACCTCTGACCTTCTCCTCGGCGGAGGAAACAAGGCTGCTTGAAACGATTAGCGGATCGCTGCTACACGTTAGACTGGCCGCGGTATTTCGATTTTCAGATTACCGGAGCCAGTAGTGGTGAATCGAATTGTTGACATTGAAAATTGAAAGATCGTCGAGATCCTCTAATTGCTTTCCGCAGCGTGAACGTTGCACGATTATACGGGATGTCTTTGACATCCCCTTGTTCCCCCTTTTCACATCCCACCGTCGTGACAAACGTGTAAAAAAACCGTCTTAGCGCGAGTCTTGCACGATTGCAAATTCTGACCTCAAGTCGCAGTTCAACGTTTCTCCAAACGTTCTTGATCATTAATTGAAATTAAGTAAGTCTGCTACTGTAATCGTTACCGAATAAGCAGTCACACAATCGGCCATGCCGATGTCGATGATTTTTCACGGAGGGAGAAATAAAACGAAAAGAAAAGAAAAGAAAAAAACAGACAAAGAAACAAGAGCGTCTTGTAATGTAGTTGTAACGTTACGACACAACTGTGGTAAGTGCAGGCACATCGATTTCTGTAGGTTGCTGCCCAATTGTTCCAGCGGTTACACGAGCAAAGGCGATCAGACCGACTCAGCCTGAACTCTTCTCGTTGTTTGTCATGTGTTTGTTATCGAAAGCGAGAAAATACTCCTTTTAGCGTAGCTCCTCCCGAGCGAATTTTTCTCGTCCATTTTCGGCGAACAGAGAGCGAGGACGTATGAAAACAGGCGTGGCACCAGCACCTTTCGATCGTTCGAGGTCTGATCGTCATTGTCGTAAGGAGTGATCTGTGTTTCCAGGAAAGAGCCAGATCTCGAATTGGAGGGTCTCCTGAAGAGGCATTACACGACCGTGGAGTTTTTTCAGGGCACTATGATGAACGCTGTGGACCTGGAGCGTGTCAAGGTATCCCCGCACCTATGACCTATGAAAACAACTATATCACACGAAAAACGTCCGCCAAAGTCAAGACCATCCGAATATCCAATCTCTCTCTCTCTCTCTCTCTCTCTCTCTCTCTCTTTCCTTTGCGTGGCCGCTCGTGCTTCTTATTTCCATGTAGTTCCTTTTTTTTTTTTTTTAGGTTTTTTGCGCGGTTACCTACTCGACCACGTTCGATCTTACGTCGATCGATCGACATATATTATAGATGTCTAACATGGATGTCTATACATGTTATATTATGCGTGGAACAGTGTACATAAATCGTAGCTGTAGCCAGGTTATTCTACTTTCTCTTCTTCTCTGTCTCCCTCGATCTACTTGTTAGCCTTAGTAGCTGCCAGGTTTTACCCACGTATCTTCTTCTACTCTGTCTCTTTCAAATTTACATATTCCCCTTCTGGTTTTTCTTCTCTGTCTCGTGTTATTCACGGTCGTTTTACCATCGGATCTTGGTCTCTCTTCGCATTCGATTTAGTTTCTTTCTTCCGTGTCTTTGCGTAACGGGGTAATATCGTAAAATCTCGATGAAGAAGAACAAAAGAGAGAAAACATACTTCAATTGATCGAGACCTCGTCTCACGTGTCTGACTCCGCGTATAAAACTCTTCGTCTCCCTTTTTCGACCGTGTTTTCAATCTCGATCTCGAGATTTCTTTCTTTTTATTAAATTGCAGCTTTCCCTTTCACTTCTGTCACTCTGGGCATTGAAAGTGTGTTGAAACACGTGTTGGCGACTCGTTCGTTGGTCGTTTCATTTTTTTATCGTACGATCATCACTCGATGGAAACGAAATGCTTCTTCGTTCCCGGGACATGTGCGACCCGGGGAGTCGCATTTAGCCGTTTATAAAATAAAGTCACCTTATATATATATATACATATATCTCTGTCGGTGTATGTACATAGTACACGCATATAAATGTACATATGTATGTACAATTTATACGTAGAAAGCAATTGCCTGCGACTGCATGGTATGCTGTAATGAGCTATGAGCCGAATCAGCGTGCAGTAGAGACTTACTTAGATCTATTATACTATATTATTATTATTATTATTATTATTATTATTATTATTATTATTATATATACATATATATCTCTTGACTTTCGAGGAGGCATACCCACTTCCAAAATATATACCATCCGTATCTGAAAATGTATGGAAAACATCTCTGGCTAAAGTTAAAGCACTTTAAAGGCGGCTGCTGTTCCTCGAAGGTCTCTGGCAAAACACGACATTTTGGCATTGTCACATTTATACTACTTAATTTATAAGTCGAATGAATCTCCGCCCCGAATCACTGGCGGCCTACTCGGCGATGTGATAAATCTCGGCTAAAAAAGGCGTCCACCGTTGATCTGAGGTGAACATTATTTATGAAAAGAAACGTATCGTTTTGTCGGGCCGGTGCCATTTAGGAAACCACCAGATCTCGAGCTGGAGGGACTATTCAAACGGCACTTCACCACCGTGGAGTTCTTTCAGGGGACCATCATGAACCCCATTGATCTGCAGCGGGTCAAGGTGAGTCTGACATTCTGATTGTCCACGTCAAATAAACAACCCCCGTCGACTCCCATCTCTCTCTCTCTCTCTCTCTCTCTCTCTCTCTCTCTCTCTCTCTCTCTTTTGAACATGCAAGACAAACCTGTAACGATTACCACCGACTTTGATTACTCAACCTGTGTATTATTCGAATGACACTGTGCACATATATACGTACGTGTGTACAATCTAGACCCTCTTGAAACGATGGAATATTTTTCGGAAGTAGTGTAGCTCTCGAAGTAAGCTCGAATCTATTCGTATTTCTTCTTTTTTTTTTTTTCTTTTAAACTGAGATACTCTCGTCGTGAAAGCTATGAAAACAGGTGAAATGCCAAAGTGCATCTGTTATCGGCACTGAACTTTTCGAATATCCTCCCCCGTGGTAATTAAAAAAACGAGCAATTGAAGGTAGTTTGTTGTGTTTAATTAACGCTGTCCGGGATCTCATCGGTCTCGCGCTGATTAATTAAGATTTTTCCGATTAATTAGTAGAAAAGTCGTATAATGAACGAGGGGGAGTCCGTAACACTGCGGGGAAAATTGGTCGTGGTGATCGATTTGTGTGAAAAGTGGACGAGATGGGAAAAAGGACCGAATACTTCAGCGTGAAAATATAGAGCGTGTAATCTGATTAAAATTTCAATTGATTGATTAATTAATTAATTATCTTGAGTCAATATATTCCAACATGTTGAAATTTCCTCCAGGACGTTTCTTTTTCTTTTCCCTGCGAAAAATTGACTTGAAAATGTTCCATCATTTTCCAGATTAATTGATCGTAGCAGATATACGTATATATATGTACATAGATATACATACATCTTTGTGCTCAACATCCACAGGATCATCGAGTTGTCGTATTCCTTCCGTTTGTGTCGTGGTAGCTTCTATGACGTTATACTCCTTGTACTTTTGACGATATATATATATATATATATGTACAGGGTGTTTCGTAACTTGTGGTACTTTAGGAGCTCATTGTACGCCTAAAAATAATGAAAAAAAAATAAAAATATATAAATATAAATATAAATATATGTCCTATCTGACTTAATTTACGAGATATAATGAATTTTATAAACAGAGCAAACTTTAGTCAGCTAGTTTTAGGAATGGTACATTCAATTTTCATAATAATCATAATTGGGATGAAGAAAACCCACACGTTATTGTGCATTCAAGACGTCAACACC